TTGGATCCATAGGGACAATCAAAAGGCATTGAAGAAACAATTGTAGAATAATTCTGGTAGTGTCTTTAGGATTTCAACACCAATCAAATTGTAGAGCTACACCCAATGATTTAATAAATTGATTGTACTCCAAGTACGTATCAGCTTAAGTGAACTGAAGAGCTTATCTACAAATTATGACTTCTTCCAAAATACTCAGCTTTCCCACAGCTCTAATTCCCATTGTTCAACTTTCCTGGGTAATTAATATTGCGATTCCTTTTTTCTTAACTGCCATCCATAATATAAATTTCAAACAATTTATACATTTACGATACTTAAATAAGCACTGTTCTTTTTAAAAAGTCTATTGATTGATTTGAAAGGAAGGGGGAGAGAGAGAACCCTTGTATGTGCCTGATTGAGGATGGAACCCACAACTAGGAGCACTGGAACCACGCTATACCAGGACCACCTGTTCTCAAATAATTCCCTTTTCAAATAATTCGGCTCTCAACCAAGTTGTTCACCAAAAAAAAATGTCTAGGTTGTTGAACAAAACTTTGCTTCTCAACCTGACAACCCTTTCGTGCTGATACATCAGCATGACGTAAAGCATCTCTCAGGCCACAAAGAGAGAATGTGAATCAGTTTATCTCAGGAAATTGTGCTGTGAACATTTTTGCGTGTTTTTTGCTTTTGTTAGTGGCGAAATGGACGATTAGCACAATTTTAAAACATAAAGAGGCCATCAAGAGTAGATGAGTGGATAAAAAAGCTGTGGTACATTTATACAATAGAATACTATGCAACTACATGAAAGATCTCTTACCCTTTGAGATGACATAGAAGGACCGGGAGAGTATTATGCTGAGCGAAATAAGCTAGTCAGGGAAAGACAAGTACCACATGATCTCATTTATGGAATATAATGAACAAAATCAGCTGTCAATCAAAATAGATCCAGAGTCATGGAAGTAGGGAACAGACTGACAAACTTCAGAGGGAAGCGGGGGTAGAGGGGTTGGAAAGATATAAGCCAAAGAACATATATGCATAACCAATGGACACAGACAATAGTTTGGGGAAAGCAGGAGGGGAGTGGGAGCAGGATGGAGGAGGTCAATGAGGGGGAAATGTGGGGGGGGGGAACATCTGTAATACTTTCAACAATAAACATTAAAAAATAAAATAAAGAGTGCTAATGTTGCTAGCGGTGTGAAAGAAATAATGATCACAGGCAATTAAAAAGGTAGAAAACGGTTGTTGATTAGGACAAATGCAAAGAAGTTGGCCAGTGCCAGCATTTCTGAGCCAGCAATCTGTGAAAACACGAAGATGCCCCATGCTGACTTCCCTGGACCGAGTGCTGAAAGAGATTTGTTTGCGGCTAGTAGGGGGTGGTTCGATAAATGTTAATAAAAGTGTTTGGTTATAGATTAAACAGTACATTAAACATGTGCTGTATATAAGAAAGGTTAAAATAGTAATTATTTGGGGGTCTGGAACAAATTAATTCAAATTACATTATTTATAATGGGGAAAAAATGATTGTTTTTTAATAAAATGCTTCTCGAACAACCTTCTGGAACAAATTAAGTTCCAGAACCGAGGTTCCACTGTATTCTGGTCTTAATTTTAAAGTGTTGAGTTGAACATTTTGCATAGAAAATTTTTTAATCAAGTTAAAATTTTCTACTAGTGATTTAGTGAACTTCAGAGAGAAAAAATAAGACATACGCATCATATAGTCTCCCCATTCCTACAAATATTAGATATAAATAAAAATCATCATAAAATGAACATGGACTTAAAAAAACTCCCCTCTCCTCCCAAATCAAGTTGCATGTTTTCTGTGCTGTGACTGCTGGTTTTCAGCTCTCTTCACTCTCTGAGGAGCAAAAGAAACCTGCCGTTTTCACTAGAAACATTACAGCTCAAGGAGCACAATTAAAGTTTTGATTTTGTAGTTCAGCTTTCAAGTTTCACACTACCCCCACCTCATCACCTTCTCTACATCCTATAGCTTGAAAGAAAGAGCACAAACCTGGGGATTATTAAAGAGTACAACTTAAATCTATAATGTTATTTGAACTTAAAAAGTGTTGTAGTTTGTAAAATTGACAAGGTTCTTTTACTTTTTAATGCTTCCCCAAGTGCTTGTCAATTATATAAAGTTGTGAGTAATAAATGGCATAAAGCGCAGTTCCAGTCTTTAATTTTTATTTTTTAGGGTCTATATTACATGTTAAAACATTACATGCTAAAGTAAAACAAACAAAAAATATAGAACTACTTTTCCCCACTTACTAGTCCTTGGCGGGAACATATGAGATCTCACTCCCCAGAATATGTCGTCAGTTTGGCTCAAATCAACCCTTATAAAAATTAACAAACAAAAAAAAAGTCCTTCGCTTTGCCTAGCATTTTTGTATAGCTGATATTACCTCTTTTTAATCCATCTGACTAGTATTTTACCTCTTTAGAGTTCCTGTTCAATCTCTATCCAGATCTATTCAGGGTATAGGATGGATAGGGTGGCAGAAGCTGCCTGTGTCTTTGTGGTTAGTTGAGTAAGTACCTTTCATCCAGCTTATGAGAGAATTAAGGGAATGGATTAGTGAACATTCCAGTTAACTAAAGGCTTAACTATGGAGCTCCAAATAATGTAGCTAGAATTCCCCGCCCTTTCTCAAGATTTTCAAGTTAATGAAAAGGGGCTGATTAAAGTTACAAGCTACTTACCAAATCGCCTGAGAGAAAACGTAACTTTTTCTACAATTTCTAAATGTTAGGATAATAGTTTGGCCATGTCTTCAATAACTTCAACAAAGTCAAATTTGCTTTCTTTTTCTCTGAAGATTATGCTGTCAAAGCAGTAGAGTGAGATGCTTTGTAAGTGTAAATGTATGCTGTTACTATGAGCTGATTTTATTAGTTCTTGTTTAAGTTGTTAGATAGAAGTATAACAAAATTTGGATTCCAAATTTTCACTTGATAATATATCTTTTACTATATTTTCAATTGATACTTATAATTTGCACACTATATATAAATTGAGAGATTAAAAATCTTTCAAGCCCTAGATGGGTGACTCAGTTGGAATATCATTTGGTACACCAAAAGTTTGGAGGTTCAATTCCAGATCAGGGCACATATCTAGGTTGTGGATTCAGTCCCCAGTAGGGGTACACAGGAAAGGCAACGAATGGATCAATGTTTCTCTCTCTCTCTTAATTCCTCTCTAAAATAAATAAAAACATATCCTTGGGTGAGGATTACAAAAAAAAAGTTTAAATAATCTAACTGTGTGTAAATGTACACTATAGAAAGAAAAAAGAAAATACTGAATGCCAACTATAATCGAAAGTTTTTAAAAATTGTAAAAAAGAAAAAAAAGGAGAGGGAAGGGACAAAGAATATTTACTTTTTCTTCTGTCTTTGCACAAGAAAACTTCAAAAATGTTTGTTTTTTTTTTAAAAAAAAAATGAGCTGAATTTTGCATTGAGATTTTCAAAAGGAAAAATGCGATCCTGGTTTTATGGGATATCGCCCTGGCCCGGTAGCCCAGTTGGTTAGTGTCCTCCCAATACACCATGGTTGTGGGTTCAATCTCTGGTGAGGGTACCTACAAGGATCAACCAACAAATGCATAAACAAGTGGAACAACAAATTGATGTTTCTCGCTCTCTCTCATCAATCAATAAATAAAATATTTATGTTTTAGTAAAAGATAAATACTTTATGTGGCATATGAGCCACAAGGTGGTGCTATAATTCCACGCAGGTACTAATATTTTAGAAGGTAATTGATTTTCTTTTAAGCTCTTGATTTTTATAAATTTTTTGTAACTGAAAATATAAAGCTAGTTGGATTTGTCCTAGAAATATTTACTGAACTCTACTAAGTGCAAGGTTTTATGCTAACTTCAAAAGCTCATAATTTTAAATAAGTCTAATGACTAAGCACATATTAGCATACTAAAAATGCTCCCTTAAAAGTGATTTCTACTTAGAATTTTAACTTACTGTTAATGTTTTATATGTGACAAATTTCAAGTTATACACATATATAATATAAACAGATTGATAAATAATATACAATCGTATGAACTAAATAATAATAAAAGAAAAAGTATTCCACTTTTCCTCCAAAATAATGGAATCAATTTCCTTGAAGATTACCCAGGACGATTATTACATTTTTATTTATAAAGTTAAATAATAATAATAATAATAATAATAATGTGTTTAGTAATTTAAAGTAAATTTCTTTTTCCCTTGATTTAACTTTAAGACTTTTTCTCTCTCCAGAAAAATATATTACTTCCCATGACTTAAAAAAAACAAAAAAACACCGCACTGTGTATCTTGTAATACTGGACGGCCACCATCTGTGTCTGTGCTGCTGGTCTTAAAATGTGTTACAGAATAGAGCACTAAAATCCTCAGCACGCTTTTCACAGTGAACTTTCCGACCTGCTTCTAAATACGAAAGAAAATCATGCCCTTACTTTCGCAGTGTTAACTGAAAATGTGTTGCTGCTTTTTCATTAAGCATGAGATTGTTGTATTTTTGTTTTATTTCATTTTCAATGAGCATTTTTAACTTTTCATTACAACATATTCATCAGGACAGATGGCAAAATGGTATGTACGACAGCCTCCTGGGTACAATATGCAAGTCCCAGTTGGAGTGTTTCCAACAGGATGTAAACTATGGTCCTGAAGCCTGTACTTTAAAAAACATATTACTTAGCACACCGCCAACAAATGTCAACACAAGAATACAGCACTGTAATGACTTCACTCCGTAAAAGACATGCACTGGCACATAAGTTTTCCTAAGGAAAAGTAAAACAGAGTAAAAGCAGATAACCATAGCACAAAAATAATCAAGAATTTATTCAATATTGAATGAAAAAGCTCATATACCAAATGGAATTAAAATTCTTAACAAAAATATTGCAGTATATTAACATATACAGAGAATTCTTAAAATATACAACATGTACAGTAGCCAAAATCCTGGAAAAGTTCATGTAGAAAAATTCTATAATTAGTGATTTGAACCTTTCAGCAACTCTGCAGTTTCTTCAAACCTGAAAAACAATAAATAATACATTAAATAAATATCATAATGAGGCATAGGTTTTAAGTTGCTAAAATTATGCTTTTGAGCCTAAAATAAATTTCAATACTTCTCTTATTTATAGGTATAGTTACTGTTAATAATTAAGTATACTATAGCCAGAAGGGAGGTATAACGATTAGAGTTAATTAGTAGTCTTTATTTCTGGGAGCATTAAGCTATTTCAATACTTCTCAAATTTCAAAAAAATATTATAGTTTTTAAAGTAGCAGGCTACCTAATAAATATAATTTCACATTTCCTTTCAACTGCTCTTTAGATACAAGTATCATTTTTAGTATTACCTTACCAATAACTTTCTAAAAAACCCTACCAATACTTTAACAATGCTTGAAGTGTCTCCAAAACTATCCATCTACATATATTTACTATTTTGATAAATCAATTATCAAAATTAGATAATCCCCTTGATTAACTATCAACCAAAAATATCTCTGCACTCTTTAATCTGAAATTAATTCTATTAACCATGTTTTACATCACTCGTTGGAAACCAAAACAGTGACTCATCTCACAAACACATAACTGTAGGTGGATTTATTATCCACTAGAGTCCTAAAGGAAATTCCACACCTGATCGAGAGACCTTTAAGGTTTGAAACACATATGCACATTCTACATACACTGCAATCCAATACAATTCCCTACAGAGAAATGAATTTCTGTTGCCCTTTCCGTTACTTACATTTTTTTCATCCTTTCCATTTTCTGGATTGTTGTTTCCTTTAATTTAAAAAGCAACAAATTTAGGCAATTTCTCAAAGTAAAACATCATCAAAGATGGACCATGAGCATATAAAACAGTCTAAAACCCTGCATTAAGCATTGTTTACTTATCACAAAGAATTTTTTATGAGATATTAAGATATACACGGTTTCACTATTTTTCTTGCCAATGACATCTACAACTAAATCTCATGCTTGCTTGTTTTCCTGTCCTTCACAAGGAAATCATCTAAGCAGTTGCCAGTTTTTCTTACCTCTGAAATATCTTTCAAACCAAAGTAATTAACAGTTGAGGTTCTGGGAGTTGAATCTATTGATACTGTACTATAACTGGAAGACAGAGGAATATTTGCTTCCCTCTCTTGGCTTTTTCTGTCTGTGAAGAAACATATTTTTAGGTTATTGTTTCCTTTCACAGTGGAGTCAAATATCTAATAATGTTATGAATGTATAAAAGAAAAAAATATATTTTAATATAAATGTTTAACATATTTAATATAAAATGATTACTGGTATACAGAGGAGTTTTTAATATTCTTCTAAGATAATGACGTACATATAAAGACCTAGATGTAAAAAATTGGCCAATAATAATTACAAAAGGCAATATTATCTTCATCATGATAGCAATCAATTGAATAAATAGGTAAGTTTATTTTTAAATTAAAGCTATTAAATCATGGCAAAACCTCCCTACAACTGAATCAATTACAGAAAAGACAAGCTCCTATCAAATCAATCAATAGGCTTGAGGACCATTTGGCTACAACCGAAGCCAGGAAAAAAAATGTAGATATCCCTTTAAACAGTTTTATTGTAAGCCCACACAGGCAACCTCAATTAGGGAACGAAGTATTACCACATGAGGACTGAAACAACTAAAAAGACTTTTACTTTCCTCTCTCATAGAGCCAGTGCCTTTTGTCTACTTCTCTTGCCTATTTGCTCCATTCCTCTGATCACCATGAACTTGGACAAAATGCCCAACCCAGGCTAAACATCACTTGATGTATTATCCTTGGTTTCCTAATTCCAAATTTCCAAGGAACACAAAATTATTTGGCTCAACCCCTTTTATATTGTTATTCCCTGGATTAGGGAATTACCACTCCTGATCCAGTTATTTGAGCTCAGGGGTCAAGATCACACGGCACAACTTTGAAGACTAGCTACATCCCACTCCTTTAGCAGGCTGTAGGCTGTTTACAGGTTACTGCCAAATATGTTTTCTTCTCTTACATATAGTATTTAAAGCTACTACTTTAAGTTTAAACTAGAAACTTGAAGATCCATTTTTACTATTCTATAGCACTAAAAAGGGTAAAACATCACTAAAAGTCTGCAGTTTTGTACACTAGAGTTTAATCAACCACTATGTCATGTAAGACATGTAAGCTGGCTTCTTTAGCAATCCTTGGCTTCAGTAGTCTGTAAGTTTAATATTTTCTTTGTTCCTAGGAGCTTCGTAGTTTCTAAAATGTAAGGCTTGGGAATATTAAAATTACCAAATACCTACAAAAAGTATTTTTCTAAACTCCCAACTATACCACCAATATTAATACCATAAGAACTTACCAGGTTTCAGAATATCCATGTTACTACTACAAGCACAGTCTTCATTCATTTCATTATAGTCTATATATTCATCATTCTGAAATAATATAGTTTAGTATTTAGCATGAAATGAAGAGAAAAATGTTCTTATTTTATATTACTGCTAAACATTTTTACAGAATATAAAATAATTTCAAGCTTTTCTTAAAAAGCAAACATTATTTTCCCTCATTTTAAATACTTTAAGTACTAATAGCTCTAAAAGCTCAATTTATAGGTTTGCCAGATTATCTTAGTTGATGAAGAAAAAAACAATAGCCAAGACAACAGCAATAAAACAGGTTGTGTCTAAATAGGACTTCATTCCCACTAAGCATTTTCCCATTACCTCAATATTCTCTTATTTAGCATTTCCAGAGGAATACACACACAATAATAAATAAAAGCTTCGTTGTATCTGAGATATCCCATAAATGTTAAGGAAAGAAAATACCTTTTTGGACAAAAGCAATTCTGTTTCAAGAAGGGTGACACGACTTAGAAGATTGGTCCAGGTTTTTTCATCTACCATCACTTTTCCTTTCATTTTTTCTTCCAAACAGTCTAATCTGTACTCTATCTGAGTCAGTTTCTTAAGCTTTTCTTGGCATTCGGCAAGCATAGTCTGTACTGCAGTAATCTCAGGATTAACTTTTATATCCTAAAATGATTAGAAAGATTAAAAATATTACGCAAACGGAAATTCTTTTAAAAGTCAATGTATTCCCACTTGCATGGTGTTATTTCAAGAGTTACAATAGACAAGGCAGCATGAGAGTTAAGACTGCTACTCTGGAGGCAGATTGCTTGGACACTTACACTAGCTCATCTAACACGTGTGACCTTGATGCTTCAATTTCCCTACTAAGAAAAACAAAACAAAACAGTTCCTACTTCATATGGTTCCTGTGAAAATTAAATAGTCGTTTTCATAAGGCTCTTTAGAACACTGGGTAGTACAATAAAACTGTCACTAACAAGCTTCTTGTAACAACACCTAGCACGAAGCTAAGAGGAAATGACCAAGAGATGACAGTGCATCGAAACGGTTGTTTGCTATAAATAGGAACCAAGCCTAATGGCCATCTGGTAGTTTTATAAATGCCAACTTTATATTGAGATGTACAGACGTCACAAGACACAGAAGATAGATAGCAAAAGGAGTTTTAGCAGAAGCAGTAAAGATTAGACACCACAATAGGGTCTGTGGCAATACAGCGATAAAAAAGGTTCTCTAAGAGAGAAAAGGACATGTAGGGCCCAAAAGGAAAATGAAAAGGCAGTAGTGTACCAGTTTTTTCCATTCATCAAGATAGGGAATAGGGCCCTGGCCGGTTTGGCTCAGCGGTTGGAGCATCGGCCTGCGGTACAGAAGATAGGGAATAGGGAATAGAGAACCTTTAGTGTACAAAGCAATATATCTTTTTATCTCATTAAACTAAATACCTTGAAGACAAGTACTGTATCTTCATCATCTCTGCATTACACATATTCCCTAAACATAACTAGTAAATAATATCTGTCAAGTTATATTCAGTAAGACTTACTGATTCTTGAGTAACAGTAACAAAAATAAAGTGTCGTGATTAATAATTCAAAAGGCCAGAGATATTCCAAAGTTTAGACGCTGAAGTAAACATGTACATCGAAGTAAGAAATATTGGCATCTGTTAAAGAAATCCCAAATTCTTACTTGTGGCTTAGACTTGATTTCAGGAGCCTTTTCTTCAGGAATTTTTGTGTTAGTATCCTTTAAGTCACACACAGCAAATGCCTCATTCATGTCTGTTACTGAACCTAACGTATCATCAGGAATCTTAATACCATCTTCATTGTAGATGTGACGGATCACCACCGCTTTCTTCTGCAGAGAAAAAACAGGCAGAGCTGCTCCAGTGTTGCCCTCACAAAATTATTTTACACATACACATAGTCACTTTGCAAAAGAACATCTTTTCTTCACTTTAAGATTTATAAAAGCTTAAATGATCACATATAATGTATATACCAGGCATTAATTAAGCTATTAATATTAATATGTTATGAGTGATGATTGTGGTTATGATCTTTTAAAGCATTCTTATATATTAGAAAAATATTGAATATTTCTTCAATGATGTCGGGGATTTGCTGCAAATTGTTTCAGGTTTTGGGGAAAGATGATGGGAAAAGTGGTTATAATAAATAAAGACGAAACAAAACACGCCAAGAGTTTTGATAAATTGCTGAAAGTGGAAATAAGTACTTTTGTAAATATTTGAAACGTCCCATAATAAAAAGTTATTTTAAGAACAATTTTATCATCAAAAAAGTTACCACATAATTCACATTTAAATAATCAAGAACTGCCTCTGTGAATAGGACTTGTTACAATTTATTTTTATTAAACAAACCACAAAATTTCAGACCTTCAGCTAACCAGTGAAACTTAATAATGACAAGGGGAAAGTCCTGAGAGTAAAGATTAGGTCAAATTATGCATTTACACTGGACTCATTCAGCTACAGGTGCTCAAAGCAGGTAAGGGCAGGGAAGCTATCCACAAAGAGAAGATGCTCAAAATATTAACCCAAAACCCAATTATAGGTTTGGGAACTGTCAATCATTGGATACTTCACATTCCTGACAGAGAAATATGAACACAGGTACGTGAATCATGATACCCTATAATTAATGGTATGTTCTTTATATGTTCCCATGTTGTGGAAAGACTAGATACATAATTAATTAGGAGTAACTTTTCACAAGCACATAATATAACATCCCCAAATCATTGCTATTTTATCTGGGAAATAAGGCAGAAATAGGAATTAGAAATATAAAGAGAAAGTTTGTTCCATTCTACATCTCTACCCTCCTCTTACAACTTTTGGAATATTCCCCAGATAACATGTGGTATGCATTGTTAACAAATCCTTATAGTATAATATCTAACTATGTTTTAACCAGCTGCTAGCTACAAAAGTGAACCTTGTACATTGGATTAATTAGGTGGGTAACTTTTGTTTTTTTCTTTATTGATTTTAGAGAAGAGGAAGGGAGAGAGAGATAGAAACATCGATGAGAGAGAACATCGATTGGCTGCCTCCTGCACGCCCCCCCCACTGAGGATTTTGCCCACAACCTGGGCATGTGCCCTGACTGGGAATCAAACCGGCGACCTCTTGGTGCATGGGTCAGTGCTCAACCACTGAGCCACACCGGCTGGGCAGGAGGGTAACTCTTAACAGTACGATATACTCTCTATATTTTCCGACCTTTCCTGAAGTCATAAACCTGTTGTCAGTGCCAGCAGGTTCTGTAGATGTCTTCTCATTGCTTGAAGAAGGTTCTGTCTTAACAAAATTAATTTTCTTCCTTTGTTGTGATGGAGTCTAAAAACAAAGTGTGAAGACGTAAAAAATTTTGTGTGGAATCATTATGATATTTAAATGTTATCATTTAAATTTTTATATACGAAATAATATGACTGTCAAATAGTGAGTCTATGAAACTACATGTCTTTTGAAAAACTAAAAAGTGATGAGAATGTACTGTTTGAACTGTTAGTTTAGTACTGGTAGCTCCAAGTTACAAATGTGTGAATATAAGTGACCAGTATTTAAAGCAAACACCAGGTATTATAAGGTCACACAAATCTGTGAATAATGCAATAATTACACTATTATTAGTTTGCTGTCTAGGGTATTGATTTTATGCATTAAAATACTGGCCACTAGCATAAGCTAAAATCTATTAAGAAAAATTACCTTCTCCAGACTACTCAACTCCTTGTGCTTTTTCATCACACAATTCAAAATATCGCAGATAATTTGGATTTTCCATTCTGCAAATCCACATTGGAGAAACTGTTTTTTCGTCAAGATTGGTTTATAATTAAATTGATCACGAAGAAGCTATAAAGAGGGAATAGATCAACAAAAAATTGGGAACAATCTCTTTCAAAAATCCAAAATAATAAATGGTCACCTGGTCAGGGAGGCCTTTTACTTAAAAAGTACTAGAGAGATTTATAGGGGTGGTGTGAGCCCTGACCAGGTAGGAGAGGTATCTAGCTAGAAGCAGGTAGCTAGGGCTATACAAAAAATAGATGGCTGTCCAGAGAGATGGGAAAATATAACCAATGATCAAAAGTTATAATATCCTAATAGGTACTAGAAATATTCCTTTGCTCACTTTAGAATAAAAAAATACCATACCATTTATGTCAGAAAACCATAGTTTTATTTGTTTATAATTCTCCCACTACATAATTTTTTAGACAAGTCAGTAGGCCTCTGAGTTTCAACTTCTCATTTGTAAAATGAGAGTAACAGACTACTAGATCAGTAATTTTCAAAACCTACTATTGAACCCCAGGATTTCTAGAAGTGCCTGTTAGGCTTCCACAGAAGTTTTTTTGTGTGAAAGACAAAGAAAGAGAAGAATAACAACAGAGTTTCTAAACGTAAAAGCTCTCATTGCATTAAATGCAACTTACTACTTAAAAAGGAAAGAAAATATATGTGATTTGATAAGTGGGTTTTACCATTTTTAAAAAAGTTTAATAAAACTAGATTACTTGAGCAAAAATTAATAATAATAAGTAGGGTTTTTTAAAAACCAAATATGAGATTAAATGCAGTGTACATAATATACATACAAATACTAGGGTAGATATAAGACATGGTCCCAGACCACAAGGAATACAAAATCTCAGTCAAAGCTGTAGTTCCTCCTTACAAACAACTAAATTAACTCATAATTCTATGAACCACACTTTACTCAATAAAACCACATTTCTCTCTCATTCCTTCCAGCATACCAAATTTTATTAAAATTTGGTGTAAAAAAGGGCAAGTGATCCCAATGACAAATACTTATCAGTTGTCATATTTAACAGTAAGAAACATAAAGCAAACTTTAATTACATCTTGATTGCAATAGGCACTGCACTTAAATGAGGTAAATGCATATGAAAATACTGCTACATATATTTAAGAAGTTATTATAAAGACATTAATCTTAAAACACCATCAAGGACAATAAAACGATTATTATTTCATGGACTCAAACATACCTTATAGACAGTATCTATAAAGCGCAAGTCATTCTTTGCTATGAGCTCTACATTGGATTCCACCAGAAGTTCTGCTACATAAGGTGAATATGAGGTAAGGGAATAGCTAATGATGGGCAAAGATGCTGCTGTATCTCCCTTAACCAAACTGTTAAGGCAAAAAAAGAAAAATATTTTTAATGAGCATAATTCCACAAAGTTGGGAAATCAGGAAAATATAAGAATTACTGTCAATAATTTATAACATTATAGTCATAATAAGTCATGCACAAGACCCTTTAGATTCTATCCCCTAGGTTAAGTCAGTCTAGCCAAATTACTATGAAATTCTATTATTAATTTGCTCAAATAATTATGATAGTTCTTTAATACCAACAGAAAATCAAGAACACTTTCTCTTAATAAAACAAATGTACCATCTTACAGTGCTCTTGCAAACACTTGTTACCTTACCTCATATGATTTTTACCACAGACTGCAAAGGTAAAATATTATGAATTCTAAGTTATAGATGAGAGAAACAGGGCTGGGATACTGTAACTAGGCTGATCAGTATCTTTCACTTGTATCAGGCCCCTGTGAAATCAGTACCTTATTAGATTACACTAATTCCTCCAGTCTAGAAAGGTATCTCACTTTTCTCTGCCTGTTATTCATTCTTCATAAGTCATTTGTCAGATTTCAAACTTTCCATGAAGCCCATCCTCAACGTTCTGATCCATATTTGTCTCTCCCAGAATGATTCCCAGTCTATTCAGTATCTGATGCCTCATGCTGTTTTGTACTGTTTTCTAATTGTCTACACATATGAATCTCATTTGCTCCATGTGAAGTAGCTTCATAGACTCTCCCACAACAAAGCATAGGAGAGACTGGTTCAATTAGCTAGTTATATTTGTTCAACTGAAGTAATAATGCGCTTACATAAAACATTTGTTTTCCACAAAATTCAAGATGTACATAAATCTCCCTATTCCAATCCCAATTTTTTTTTAATAAGGCAGAGAACAAGTATATGATGATAGCATTACAATTTGCTTTTCAGGACAAATATAAATTGTTTCTCTTTTATGTTTATGGATACAATAATATTTTACTCAATGAGAAAACTGCTCTGGCAACCTTGTCTATCTATAAAACAGTTTAAAAAAAGGGGAAACAAACAAAAGATAAACCTTTGAACAGCAAAATCTGTCCCATTTTATGAACATTATGAATAGAAGACAGCCAGGTCTGCATTTAACATCTCATATAAAACAACCTCAAAATCCTGGTTATCTAGTTTCTAAGGACTTTGATTAGAAACAGTAAGAAAAACGGGTATTATAAACTGGCATACCAAAACAAAAACCAGCAAATCACAAGAAAAAATTTTTAAATGGGAAAAAGTAGAGAGAGTAAAAATGTGTGTTTACGTGAGGGCAGCAATCTGAAGAAGCATCAAGTAGCATTACCTATCTCAGCCGACCCTGCAGATGTTACTGTGCTATGAAAAAATCTAAAAATTATTGTTCTGAATCTCAGATCAATAAGAAAATCAAATGTTTAAACAATGTACTCAGAAGAAAGAAAAATAATCGGCATCTTTTAGAATTAATCCTATACAAAATGTCTTAAAATATTGATGGTTAAGGTGGTAAGAAGAAACCTTGACTACTCAAACTAGTTAAGTATCGGCAAGACTAGACAGTAGAGATTTCCCTCTTTTGAGGTACCAACCTGATTGGTACATGCTATGGAAACATATATGAAATATATCCTGCTTCTCATATACAATGCATATAATAACAGTCACTAGAGCTTAACTTTCTCCTTGCTCTCTTCACTATCCTTTCATTTGCAGTCATGCCTCAATGTTAACTCTTCCTAGTGTACAATCAGAACATCCCTTTTTATATGTAAAGTCCACTACCCTGGACTCTACTTAGTAATTGGTTTAACCAAGACTCACTCTACTACTTGACCATATACCTAATCCCTTGACACTCATTGAATAAATGTCTAATTAGCTTCTAATATGTGCCAAGCATCATTCTAGATATAAGGATACTACAGTGAACAAAACTAAGTACTGGACATCAACTTACTTTCTAGAGGGGGAAATACTTAATCAATGAATATCCCAAGAAAGAAGACACAGAAGTATCAGGGGATAGAGGATTACAGGAATACCATATTAGACTGGCATGAATATAGAAGAAATGTACGTTGCTACATTCTACAAAAGCAAGTAAGTCATACTTGGAGAGTGGAAATTAAAGCAAAATGTTCAAAATGGGGTCTGTTATCATGAGTTAGCTTAATAATCTTCAGGCAAGATATAAGTTGTCATAAGAAATCTATTAAGTAGAATCTTCCAAATCATAAAGAAGCACTATCCAACTGAATGTGAGAGGATAGTAAGTTATATAACTAATTAATTCATTATATATCTATGAGTTTAAAAGTCATACAGAGATCATACATTATACTGACGTATATTTTGCTGCTACTTGTAAAAGGTGTTTTAAATTTCCAGAGTTGGACTTTTTATTTATTTAAATCCTCACCTGAGGATATTTTTCTATTTATCTTCAGAAAAAGTGGGAGGGAGAGAGAGGGACAGAAAGGAAGAGAGAGAGAAACACTGACATGAGAGGGACACATCAACTGGTTGCCTCTTGCATGACCTCAATCAGGGCGGAGGACGAACCACAACCAAGGTACATGCCCTTGGCCAGAATCAAACCACGACTCATTGGTCTGTGGGCCCACACTCTAATCGCTGAGCCAAACCAGCCAGGGCAAGTTGGATTTTTAAAAATTCATACTTAGAAATAAGCTCCTGTAATTCCCTGCTTTCTATATTTTAATCATTTTAAGAAAAATTTAAAAGTACCCAGATAAAATCAGTGTCTTTATTAGATGCTCCCTCATGCCAAATATTATATCAAATCATTACCAAAAAGACTACAAATAAGTTTTATATTCTAGCTTACCCTACACAATCCACCTCTTGAGGATAGTTTAGTGAGCGAAGCACTTGTTCTAGGTTCCGTAAGCTTCTTTTTAAGTCACCTGTTGCCATTATTTAATATTACATTCCGCTCTAGCCTTTGAAATATTCTAATGTTTCACCTGAAAGTAAATATCCATAAAACACTGGTTAAGTTTGTGTACTTTTTAAGCTTCTCTCTTCTATGTTTTTCACATTTCCTATAGGTACTTACCATATTTATCTTATCTTAGCTATTTCTCCCCTAACTGATCCCTTTGGGTCTAGTACTGCCTAGTATCTACCATAGTATTCCTGAGTATAAGGTGTGCTTTTCCCCCAATATTTTTTCCGTAAAAAGAAAATTTGCCTCACATTCATGCTCTTGTAATGTGTTTCACACATGATACTCTTCCAGATACTTTATACTGAACAATAAAGTACCATCTGGGAAGACACATCAACCTGAAATAGTCTCCATTAATGACTATTTTGGATGCTTATAAAGGCTACATGAAACAAAATCAGTAAGGGAGGAGGGTGTTGGGGGGGGAAAAAAAAGAAGAAATATCTGTAACAAAAATAAATTAATTAATTTTAAAAATCAGTAAACAATGGAGACAGAATTTAGCACAGATTTAGTCATTATTCCCAGGGCTCTGACCCCATGCGGTTGACTATAAGGTGCTTTGGTTAAAAAACAAGTTATTAAAAACCATATATACTCACCAGGGCAAACAGAACTAGAGGGATTCCACATGACAGAAGAGGTATCAACAGAATTTTGGAAGATGGAAAGCAGATGGATGAGTGATAATCAACCTAGCAGAGCACAGACAGGCCAATCCCATCTGTCTATTTAGGAGAAAACCAACAGCAGCAAGATAAGTTCAGAAATGAGGGGCCCCTTACAGTTCTGCAAGGGGTAAGGCCAGGGGGTGTTGAAATAAGGATTACTTGAAAGTTCATATAAACAGCTGCTAAATCCTGGATTTTTACTTTCCCTCCTCTCTCTGACATAACTTGCTCAGCTGGGCAACTAACTGCCTCTCTGCTTCCTTGGGTTTCGCTGTCCTCTAGTTTATAAAGTTGTTTCCCATGTATATATGAGTTAACTCTGATACTTTTATACATATATACTGGAATTGAATGGTTAAGTAAATGGATGGCTGAAAAATAGGAGCCAGGTTTCTCAATGGTGGAGTGAAAATTTACAGATAAGCAAGGGGCGGAGACTAGAATAAGCCATGCCTAATGGACTAGTTAGAGACATCAATATGAATTCATGTTTAGCTTAATATAGATACAGATAGTTTCATACTGAAATATTTATAGAACTGTGGATATAGACAGCTTATTATATACACATATATTTCCTTTCTCTGCCAGCTGAAAGTGACTAAAAGCAACGACACCCCAGTAGCAAAGAGCACACATGGCATCCAGATCCTGTGTGTAATGCTATTCTCCAATAAAAGGAACCAAGGCTCCCTGGAGAAACGGCCAATTGTAGGACTCAGGCAGAGAATATGCAAAATAAACTTGAAGCATTATGTAGTTCCAAAAAGTAAGAAAGTACACACAAAACAAACAAACCAATCTGACATTGATGGGAGTATGTCAAAACGGCGCAGGAACCAAATGAAATAGCTCCCAGTGGTCAAAGCTAAAACAATTTGAACAACAAAATTAATAAAATAGTATCAAATTATTACCCACAGTATAAAACAAAGTCAATCAGTATAATTCAATACATTAACAAATAGAGGAAAAAATCTTATACTATTTCAAGACGCAGAATAGGTATTTATATAATTATATAATTCTTATGACACCAGAAGTAGAAGGGAACTGACTGCATTTGATGAAAGTTATCTACAGAAATCTCTTGCAAACATCATAGATCATAATAGTGAAATACTGAAAATGTTCTTCCTGAGACTGGGAATGAGGCAAGCTTATCTAGTCTTGGCATTACTATTCAACATTATGCTAGAGGTAGTGCACCAGACAAAAGTTCAATAATAAGAAATAAAAGGAATAAAAACTAAAAAGGAAGAAATAAAAATGTCATTATTCACAGATAACATAACTGTATATGAAGAAAAAAAGTCAAAGGAAGTGAATTTAGCAACGTTGCTGGATAGAAGGCCAACTGTATTTTACTGTAGTCCCCAAATAATTTAAAAATGTTTAAAATTTATATATGTATAAGTAATTCCACTATAGCCTCAATAAATCATAAAAATGTGAATAAATCTAGAAAAGATATGTAAGAAAGACCTCAAAACAAACAAACAAAAAAACCCATAAAAGTTGCCTTAAATAAAAGAGGTATTTCCTTGAACAAGGATTGGAAGACTCAATAAACTGATCCATAGATTCAATGCATTCCCTTTCCCCCTGCCCAAAAGAGTCTCTGCAGTTTTTCTTAGGTAGAAATTGACAAGTTGAGTCTAAAATTTATGTAGAAGTGCAAAAAATAAAGAATAACGATCAAGATCAAAATTGGAGACTTAATAACTGTATATCAAGATTCAGTATAAAGTTAAATTTGGATTTAGTGAAAAGATGTACAAACAGAACAATAGAACAGAATAGAGACTAGAAACAGACAATGCGTATATTGACACTAGATTTACGATAAACTTGATGCTGAGTAGCTCTGGAGAAAGGATGGTCTTTTTCCATAAATGATACTTTGTCAATTGAATATCCAGATGGAATAAATAAAACTTGAACCCCTGATGTAAAGGGTACCTCACATCCTTCACAAAATTAATTTCAGGTTTGTTGAAGATCTAAATGTAAAATATAAGACAACCAGGTTTTCTGGAGATCACAGAGTAGAATAATTTTTATGAGCTTCAGGTACAGAAAGATTTCGTATGACTTATAAAATGAAACACATTAAAATTAGTAACTTCTGTTCATCAAAAGACACCTTTCGGAGAGTAGAAAGATAAGTCATTGAGTGGGAGATGATGCTGTCATATATATATAAAACCAACAAAAAGATTCATATCTAGAGTATATAAGTAAATTCTTACAAAACAATAAGAAAAAGAAAGACAACTCAATAGAAAAACGGGAAAGAGACCCGAATAGGAACTTGACAGAAGAGTAAACATGTGAAAAGATACTCAATCTGATTATTAGAAAATTAAAAAGTAAATAAAAAAATATGAGCCTATAGAAAATCTGAAACCCACAGAATGCTGTGAAAGGGTAAATTAAAAAATATGTATGATAGAATAATATGTATTTATACATGTGTGTGCACCAAAAGGCATGGAAAATATTTGATATTTTATTTTTATTATTTTTTTGTCCTTTATTGATTTTATAGAGAGAGGAAGGGAGAGGGAGAGATAGAAACACTGATGAGAGAGAATATCGAATGGCTGCCTCCTGCATGTCCCCCACTGGGGATCCGGCCTACAACCTGGGCATATGTGCTGACCGGGAATCGAACCGGTGACCTCCTGGTGCATGGGTCGATGCTCAACCACTGAGCCACACTGGCCAGACAATATTTGGCATTTTAAATAAAATGTGGTTTGTTTTTAATTCCAAAGAAATTATTGTCATGAAATTATATTTTGAAATGCCTCTTTTTATTCCATGTGGCAGATTCTCAAAGAAAGATTATTCTCTATGGAGGTATTCATAAAATAAATAAGTAGATTTAAAAAAATAGTTAAGGGCCGGACTGGTGTGGCTCAGTGGTTGAGTGTCGACCCATACACCAAGAGGTTGCTGGTTCAATTCCTAGTCAGGGCACTTGCCCAGGTTGTGGGCCAAATCCCCAGTGGGAAGCATGCAGGAAGCAGCCATTCGATGTTCTCTCTCATCAGTGTTTCTATCTCTCTCTCACTCTCCCTTCCTCTCTCTCTAAGAATCAATAAAGAAAAAAAATAGCTAAGAACTTTTGCTAGAAAGAGATGAAAGAGATACAGTTTATCTAAACTATAAGTCTATAGTCAACCAGTAAGGCAAAACTCAATAACACATTTAAAAATATCTATTTATAACTATCCATAAACAATTCATAGAAGGAAAATAATATATAACAATACCTAATGAATCCTTTGGGAATGAAGCTCCTTTAAAGTTCAGTCATTGACATTAAAAACAAAACAGAACAATTCATAAATCAGGTAGAGTTAGTTTGATCTTTTCCCCCAGTCAACCTTCCAGCAGTTGCCCAGGATACAAATCATCTCCTTATCAGTGGTTCTCAACCCTCCTAATGCCGGGACCCTTTAATACAGTTCCTCATGTTGTATGTGGGCGTATCTGCATGTGGGAAGACCTGCCTGGAGACAGATAGAGGAAAGGTGTCTGGGTTCCTAAGACCATCGGAAATATGTGTTTTCCGATGGTCTTAGGCGTCCCCTGTGAAAGGGTCATTCAACCCCCAGTTGAGAACCGCTGCCTTACATACATAACTAAAAACAATAAGGCTAACAATGTGCAAAATCCTAAATTTGGTAAACTTTTTAGTTTAAGTCCCTAACCACCCAATTCTGAACCCTTTTCCCATTTTAGGAACACAGCATCTTCCTGATCCAAGTCTCCTCTCCTTTATCAATATGGTAAAGGACAGGTTTTTGAACATTATATATTATTTTAATCCTCACCCAAGGATATTTTTCTTTTTATCTTCATACAGAGTGGAAGGGAGAGAGAGAAACATCAATGTGAGAGGGACACATCAATTGTTTGCCTCCTGCACGACCCCGACAGGGGCGGGGACCAACCGAAACCGAGGTAGGTGCCCTTGGCCAGAATTGAACCCAAGACTCACTGGTCCACAGGCCAATGCTCTACCGCTGAGCCAAACCAGCCAGGGCTGAATATATTTTTTTATACAGTCATTCATGTGTTTTAATCACTATTTTTAAGCCAATTAATTACTTCAACTAAACATTTACATCTTTAGGCAAAAGGAATTTCGGGTATTGTCAAATGGCAGATAACTAGGAAAAATAGAAAGTAATCCTCAGATCACATTATAAAAAATACTGGCCAAAAGGGCAAACCTTATTTAACATCATTTAGGATGATTGGGGGATAGATGGACGTATGGAAGTAGTAACAGAGGTGGCTTCCCACAACCATGACCAGACTTTATTTTCCAGGAAAAGATGAAGTGGGAACTAATGTGGCTGTAACTGCAAAAAATATATATTCTTAGATACTGTCATTGGCAGATATAATAGATCTGAGATTGTTTCAAGTTCCAGGCCCTTCTATCGCAACATATTTCTTGTAGGGGCACCTTTTCCCCTAAGACATTCTATAATTTTAATATAAATTGTATTTCTTCCCACAGACTTCCTTTAATCCTTCCAGATGTATATTCCATCTTCCCAGTACATGTAATTTCGTTTTATTTAACACTATAGGATTTTTCCATCTTTCCTTTCTCTGAAGTTCTGGAACATATATCAACGTCTCATAATTTCTACCTGTGGTAATGGAATTTCTGACAACAAAGTATGTTCCTGGAATACATCCTCTTCAGTACCAGAAGAATAAATATTTTGAAGAAGAGTAAGATACAAGTACAGCTTGGATCTGTAGGTGAAGGAGACAAGTGATGAAACAGGGCATAACAAAATTAAGGGATAAAAATATGAATGTTATAGAAAAAATTACAGTTACTGCTCTACATTTTCATGAAAGGCTTTACTGAGTCTATTACAAATTAAAAATTAAGATGTTAAAAGAAGTCAATCTGTAACTTAGGCACATTTTAACATAGTACTTTCAGAGATGAACAATAATATAACTGGAAAAAATGATTAATATTTACACTTTATAAGCCTTTTCAAAGAAAATTAAAAGAGGAAGATACTACTCAGCCTATAGCACAGATTCAGCCATTAAGATGGTCTCAATATTGCTTCCTAGCTTCCTCTAAAGTGCTCTCTCTCTGCAAGTCAGATCTGCCCAATTGAACCCAATTTTTAATGTAGCTAGATTTCACGGCTGTTGGAGGCCATTCAATGTTTCCCAGTGGAATGGAATGCCATTAACTCAGAGTGATTTTTGCACAGAATGAAGTAACTACACTGACTATAATGATTATGGTTGATGACTAAGTTTGTGACACAGCTCATAACGCTAGATATTATCTAAAAACCATGTATCAAAAACGGAGGAGTAGAAAGAGGAAAACTTAAGTTTATATAACTAAATATATTTGGGAAATACTGCTCTAAGAGATAGATAGAACGGTCTGGGAAAGAAAATACTTAGAAAATTAGGGGGAAAAAACAAAGGAAGTAAGGGACAAGTACAGATTTCAGTAGGACTGCTGTTAAAAGGTTTGGATAGTTAAAAACAAAAACAAACAAACAAACAAAAACAGTCTAGTATAGCCCTAATTCCGGAATCAAAACCTCAAGATTGATTACTTTTCATAGTGAGGGAAAAATCAATTCTCTTCTCGGAAAGTGAAAAATATTGAAACACCAAGGAAATGCAAGCAAGGAAAACATCCACTACTTTCATCTCTCCCTTCTAGTCAATACTACCAAGGAGCTGGATCGTCCCCCAGCTCAAAGGATCCAGTAGGAATCATTGTCTGTAACTTCCGACCATAAATCACAACCTGCCACGATTCTGCCTCCTTCGTTGTTACAGGGGGATGTACCACTTGGGTATATACGTAAGCCACATCTAGGGCTCCCCTCCTTCCACCTGATTTAAAAGGATGAAAAGACAGACCTGATCATTCACTCCCACCCTGGGCCTCGGTAAGGGCACCGGAGAGAGGAGACCCCAGCCCAGTCTAAAGTGCTGCCTTGCCAGCTCACCCGGGCTCACCGAGCAACCGCAGAGCCAAGAACCGGGCTCCGAAAGAGGGGCGGGGGGGTGCCTATGCAACCAGACGTAGCCACCAGAGCCCAGCCTCCAGCAACTAGTCCCTGCCGCCCGACGCCTGCGCCCAGGAGCGCTTCTCGCGCCGACCGTTTGTATTTGCAGGAGCAGAGCGAAGCCCGCCAAGCACCGCGGCAAGACCTTCAAAGCTGCTGGCTCCCCAGCGCTCCACGATTCCTCGCTGCAGATTCCACACTACATTCATCCAGAATCCCGAGGACACTGACACTGCTGAGAGCCTTCCCCACCGTTAGTTCGATCCCGAGCTGCAAAGTAGAGCTTAGTCTAGTTTTGATGCTCAGAGTGGCTCGGGATGCGAAGTGAGAAACCGGGAATCTATACCGAATCGTAAACCATGGAGATAGAAATGCTTTTTCTTTAAGACTCAGATCTCGAACGTCACTTCCGGCAACAATAGGAAACGTCAAAACTCGGACAGTCGGCAACCCTAGCTGCTGCAGCTTGAGGTGCGCTCGTTTTGGAAGAATCCATTGCTGTTTCTGGAATTCTCGCCGCCGTCACCTCCACCGGCGTGAACAAGGAACGTTTGAACAGGCTTCTCCATGGCCTGGGCACCAGTTCCTGGCTGAGCCATTTTCTTTTTGGCTAAAAGCCCCCGCCAAGAGGCCGATTCGTCGCGGCGGCGGTGGAGATCGCAGGTCCCTCAGGTACAGGCGTCAGCCTAGATATTTCAGAGCTCTTGTTTCTTTACCCTGTACGCCCCTACTTCTCCTCGGAAATAAAGATAACCGGTGCTTGCTAGTTGTCAGAAACTTGCCAACCAGCCAGACTTTGGGACCAATGACAGTGCAAAGCATCTTGAGTGACAGTGGTGACGGCTTATTAAAATGAGGAGTTGGTGTCAGGAGGCGGGAGTAGGTGTGTTCCTTGTGTTTCTAGGCCATTGGGGTATAAGGTCAGCTTCGGGCCCCACGCAGTGATCCGGCTTCATTATAGAATGAAGCCCAGAAACAGCAATGATTAATCTCTTCTAATCCAAATTTTGCTTTTCCAGCAAAGTGGTGTGTGTGTGTGTGTGTGTGTGTGTGTGTGTGTGTTTGTTTTGGTGCATAGACACAGTTTTCGGTGCTTTACATACTCTTCAGTAATATGAATGCAGTCACCATAAATTGCCAATTGCTTCAGTTGTCAAACTTTGATTGTAAATTTGGCAGATTCTTAGTTTGTCCTCTCGTGTTTGTTTCTCTGTGACTGGGCTTTAGTGTCTTACATGGTGGATGCTCAAATATTATTAGTTGGATGAATAACATAAATGATTCCCAATCCTCAGTCATTTAAGTTTTTGGTTGTCTTATTTTTAGGTTCTGTATGTATGTATTTAGTAATTTAATTATTCTGCTTGTTTTAACAAGTGGAATTTATATTTTTAAGGACCCTAAGTGTTTCTGTCTAAATCAACATATCATGACCTTTACTACTGCGAGATGGAGCTAATTTATGTGTTCCAGTTTAGTTTTTCTTCTTTCTTTTAATGTTTGACATTCGGCAACCTTATTTCTGAGGTAGAAAGGTCCACCTCACTTAAGAAAATGGTTTACAAAATTGAGCAAAATGAAGAATAAATTTTATTCTAATTTTTCAGATTGATTTAGGAAGCTTCTCATTTTTATCCAGTTAACTTGACAGCTTATCTAGTGAGATACTTTATTATCCACTGCTGAGTAACAAATTGCCCCAAAATTTAGCTGCTTAAAATAACGAAGATTTATTATCTCAAAGTTTCTGAGGGTCAGAAATTAATGCACAGCTTAGCAGAGCACCTCATACTCACATTCTTTCATGCAGTTGTTGACAAGCTGTGTCTGGGGGTAAGATGTCACCTGAAGACTCCATTAAGGGGTAGAAGGACCACTTCCAAGTGCACTCACCTTTTTATTGGCAGACCTACGTTTTCCACCACATGGGTTTCTCCATAGGGCTGCCTCACAATATAGCAGCTGGCTTCAATCTAAGAGAGAGGACCCAAGACTCTCTACAGTCTTTTATAACCTAATCTCAGAAGTTTATCCCATCACTACTGCCATATTCTATGTGAGAAGTGAGTCGTTAATCCAACCCAAAATGTATCTGGACAGGATTACACAAGGGTTTAAATCCCAGGATGCAAGGATCTTTGGGTTTAGAGGCTGCCTAACACAGATACCCTAGCTGATAACTTTTAGGAGTAAATAGGTAGCAATAACTGAGCAGAAATGCAGTGAAGAGAAAGGCAGTCAGAGAAGGAGGAATACCAGGTTGTAAAGAAATAAACAAATTTGTACAAGCCTTATCTCTCTTGGAAAAGGTTTTTGTTTTTGTTCTTTTGGTCTCTTTTTCCCCCTACTAATTATCTGAAGAGAGGCTTATTATTTTGCTTGGGTAACTGTCTGAAGGATGATGTGTGTTAGAGGAGTGCTTGTGTTTTGTTTTTTTATCCGCACCGGAAGACATTTTTGCATTTATCTTCAGATAGAGCAGGAGGGAGAGAGGGAGGAAGAGAGAGAGAGAAACATCGATGTGAGAGAGACAAATCAACTGGTTGCCACCCACACGACCCCAACCAGGGTCGGGGACAAACTGCAACCAAGGTACGTGCCCTTAGGGGGAACAGAACCCGGGACTCTCTGGTTCGTGGGCCAATGCTCTAACCACTGAGAAAACCGGCCAGGGCTGTGTTTTTGTTTTAATATTTTTTTTTTCTTTATTGATGTTAGATAGAGGAAGGGAGAGGGAGAAAGAGAGACAGAAACATCTATAAGAGAGAACATCGATTGGCCACCTCCTGCATGCCCTGACCAGGAATAGAACCAGGGACCTCTTGGTGCTCAACCACTGAGCCACACCAGCCAAGCAGAATGCTTGTGTTTTTAGGGTCTGTATGAGCAGAACATATCACAGCTGGGGACCGTGTATTCCATACCCATTGCCATTTTATATGGTTGGATTGTATCAAAACAAATATTAGCAAAAATAGCTTTTAAGGAGGAAAGAAGTTAGGAAAAGGTAGAGGAAAACCTTCTGGTGTAGAAATAATGTGGGTCAGTGGCATTATTTATGGTCCTATGCGATCAAATAGGGATGGGAGAGGTGTGTCTTAGAGTGGAAATGTGTCTTATATGTCTGCTTTTAAGCATTATTAGGTGGCAGATACCACCTTTTCCAGCATTACCTGGATGCAAATAACCAGCACAGCTTTTGTCAGTGAACCATATACATTTATCAGAAATTAAAGGTATAGGCTTCAGATTTTTTTTGTGACACTATTTTGGCTGTGACCCACTGTAAAATTGCCTATCCTTCTTCCAAGTTTGAAAGATGTTATAAATTCTTACTGTTAGTAAATTATTATTCAAGCCTATCTTTTGTCCCTCGGGGGCTTAATACCAGCCTGATTGTGTCAATTCTCAGATTGTAAATTTGGCTTTTAAATTGGGGCTCCCTATCAGGTTAACATACTTCATTTATAGTAGTTTGGGGCCCTTAGATGGCTGCAAAATTTTAAACAGATGCTTATGAAAGTAACACAGTTGATATACTTTTACCCACAAAATATCTTATGGTTAATAACTTCCAGATAAGCTAAAATATGAATTGCAATTTATTATATGTGATCAGTTTCATAGGGAATGTTTGTGTGTTTATTGTGGTTTGTATAGACTAAAACATTGAATTACCAAGAGATTACCTTTTCTTTGATCACGGTACATTGAAATTAGTCATTCAAATTTATGATTTTATAGTTCATTACTTAACCAACTGCTGTGTACAACTATCTAGTTTTTTCTACATTTTGATTCAGATTTGGAAACTGAGGCTAATCTCTTGGTTGGCCTGTGATAATGCATCAAAATCATTAATATTGAAAGTCTATGAAATATACATCTAACTCATGATTCTTTTTCATTGAACTATTTTCCTTAAGATTTAAAACAGCTTTAATATCATACATCTACTTCTAGAAATTTATGTTCTCCATTTCTTTATTTTTTTTCCTCATTATGTTATTATTCTGAGAAATTTATTGACATAGATTCTACAATAAAACTAGTCCTGGCTGGTTTGGCTCAGCAGTTAGAATGTCAGCCCAAGTACTGAAGGGTTGTGAGTTCGATTCCCGTTCAAGGGCATATACCTGGGTTGCAGGTTTGATCCCCAACCCCAACTGGGGCTGAGTGGGAGGCAACTAATTGATGTCTCTCTCTCTCTCCCTACTTCCCTTCCATTCTATCTAAAAATCAACAGAAAAATGTTCCCAGGTAAGGATTAACAACAACCCAAAAAACTAAAATAACCTGACTTGTGTAAGTTTACATCATATTTGGGGCAAGTACTTTTGTGATCTACAGATGAGAGAAGATATTTCTGATTTCAAATTTAGGCTGCAGGTTTAGGGAGTTTAGCTCTTTGATCAGCAGTTTGTATATTCTTCAACAATAGATTTCATAAGCTAGTTGAAAGAAGGAGCAAGATTTTAGCAAGTGAGCCATGCTTGGAGAACCCCTATCTGCTCATACTGAGTAATGATTTGTAGATGTCATGAACATGGAAAAGAGATGGAAAGGACAGATGCTAAATACACACATCTCTCTCCATCACCTCTTCATTTTACCTTTTAAAAGAATTTTTTCTCATTTTATTTTTATAGAATCATAGAATTGAATAGGTAAAAGAGAACTTAGGGATCATCAAGTTCAAAACCCTTGTATTACAGGTGAGGAAACTGAGACTTGGAAATTTAACTGACTTGCCCAATATTCACAACTAGTTAAAGAGGGAGCCTGAATCAAATCCAGGTTTTGTGTCAGATTCTTCATTAGATATTTTCTCATCTCCTTTCTGACTTTCCTCCTATTTTGGGCTTCCCTCAATATTTATTTTATTTTAATACATTGTTTGCTTTGTATAAAAGTAATTAAGTGAGAATTTTAATTTTTGTTTTGTTTTTAATTAAATGACTCTCATAGGAATGGCCATTGTGGTTGATGGGCATGGTGTGGGGTATGTTTGGAGGAGGTGGATTGGGATATGCAGCAGCTGATTATAATTGGGTTGAATAAATAGTGCAGTTAAGTAAGAACCAGTGTGATTTAAAATAATACTGGTAAGAAGTATGATAAATTTATTTATTTAAAAGTTAAAACAGGCAGTGGAACATTTTTTGCAAAAGAGGCTGAATAAATTAAATAGGCACACAATTCTCAGCTTTTTGGTTACATTTAAATGACACACCTTAATTTTTACATTTGTTTAGATGCCATTTGGTAACACTCATTATAGAATCAAATTAAAGAACAGGAAAAAACCTCCAGAAAACAAAGTAATATTGTAAATCTTTGAGAATTAAAAAAAAGTGCAACTGGTATGCCTTTTAGGAACAAAAACTGCTCTTGCAGGATCAGATCTTTAAATTTAATGAGTAGGGTTTTTTTTTTTTTATGTGTTTAATGTACCCTGTGACCTCTTAGTACTTAGCTATTTCCCTTTTCTCCTTAGAAAGACCTCCTTGTGGACGTACCCTTCCTTCATTTCTCTACAGTTGTTGCCTTTCAATTTTAGAGGTGTGATTGGTTATCAGGTTTTTTTCTCTCCTCTTTTTTTTTTTTTTAAATTCTCTACTCAGGCTCTTCTAAACTACTTTGGTGGTCTGTTCTTTTGGAAGTAGAGAAAT